GCCCCCCCCGCGTGGAGCTTTAGCCGTAGAGCATCCGTGCTGGATCCCTTCTGTTACTCTTCTAGAGATCCCGCCGGGCCCCGACGCCGCAGTGGGACTCCTGCCCGTAGCACGGTCCCCAGCCGGGTGCTTGCTTGCCGTGCTTGCCTCCAAGTGGGTGCGGGTGCCAGAGGCCAACGCCAGGGCTGACGTGCCTCGCGGAGGACGTGCTCAAGCCGCTCTCTCTGACCACCTCCTGCTTTGGGTTTCCTTTCAGATCGATGACATCGCGGACGGCGCTGTGAAACCCCCACCGAACAAGTACCCCATCTTCTTCTTCGGCACCCACGAGACGTAAGCGCTGCCTCGCCCCCCTCTCTGGGCTTTGACCTCGCTGCCTCTGCTCCGGGCTCACCTCTGCTTTGTTTCTCTCCAGCGCCTTCTTGGGCCCTAAAGATCTCTTCCCTTATGAAAAATATAAAGACAAATATGGGAAACCAAACAAGAGGAAAGGCTTCAACGAGGGATTGTGGGAAATCCAGAACAACCCTCACGCCAGTTACAGTGCCCCTGCGGTGAGTGCGGCCCCTCGCGGCGGGGGGCTGCCGGCCCCCCATCCCTCCTCTCCGCCGAGCCGCTCTCCTTTTGCTGCTTCTCATTGCTCCGGTGCCTACGCGCTTCCAGCTCGCAGATCGGCTTTCTCGGGGTTGAAGTAGCTTCCCTGCCCTGCCCTCTCCCTCCTCCTCCTCCTCTGGAAGCAGACACCTTTGCCCCATCTTCAAGGTGCAACCACAGATGCGCTTTGTGCCGCTTGCCCCCAAACCACGGAGGATTTCATTGTCAGAGGGAGAACTTGGGGCTCGCTCGTCCCCGGCTCGCAGACCTGCGTGTGGACTGTTGGGCAGTCCCCCTCTTCGTCCGTGGCCGAGGCTCTGAGCCAAAAGCCGCCGGGCTGCTCCTCCAGCGGGCTTCAGAGCAGGCCGGGAGATGGCTCTTTGCTGTTAGTTGCTTGCGTAGGCATTTCGTAACCGTAATCGCGTGACACAATTTATTGTATAGCGAGCTTCAAAGAAGGCGTCCAAAGCAGCTTCGTAGGCAGTTGGTGTGAAGAGGCCGAGGAAGGTTTTTAAGGTGAGCTACAAGGCCAAGGTGGTCTGGAGGCAGGCAGGGGGGGGGGGCGAGTCCCCTTGGCTGTGCTGCCGCTGGTGCGGGAGAGAGGATTGGTTTGAGTAGCTGAGGGAGATGGTCAGACCCGAGACTGTGACTGTAGGGTAAGGTGAGCCTGTGGAGATGCTTGACAACCTGGAGAAAAGCTTCGGCTTGTTGGGCAGGAGGTTGGTGGTGGTGAGGGAGACAGCACCCGCGTTGTTCAGGGGCTCCACCGTGAACTGGCAGCAGGAGTGAGGAACCTATTGGTGAAGGGCCTGCTGTGGCTGAGGGACCGAGGCAACGCCGATGGCCCCAGCAAGGCTGAGGGTTCACCAACGTCAGCTGTGTTTTGTGGCCAAAATGCCTGGAGGAGCAGAAGAAGAGACTGAAGTAGAGGTCTTTTTTGGTTTTGTGACCTAAATGAAGGAGGTGCCCGGAACAGTCAAGGACGAGGAGAAGCTTTCCAGCAGGAAGGCTCCAGCACTGGAAGAATCCCAGCTCTAGGAAACCCCTTGGGTGTGATATCCCTCCATGAGGAACCTCATGATGGGCTGGTGAGCAGCCAGGAGACCTTCCCTACGTGGGAGCGAGGGAACAGGATGCAG